TCTGCTCTAGCTATGGATATACATTTTGAATTACAATGTTCAAGAGAGTTTTTTTGGTACAGTCATCTTCATATATCATTCAGAATTGGATTAAAAACTTCAAAGGGTTAGGAGTGTAGCTCAGAGGTAGAGTGTGCCTAGAATGTACAAGACTCTTGGTTAGATCCCCAGCACCACAAAAAACAAAAACTTGTGTTTGTTTTTGGATACTAGGGTGGAATCCAGGGGCACTTTACCATTAAGCTATATCCCCTGTCCTTTTTGAGAAAGAACCCTGCTAAACTGTCTTGCTAAGTTGCTGAGGCTGGTCTCAAACTTGCAATCCCCCTTCCCCAGTCTCCTGAGTCACTTGGGTTCCAAGTATGCGCTACCACTCCCAAACAAAAAACAATTAAAACATGTAGAGTTCAGTCACTAAGCTTCTGGTCTAAAATGGTACAGATTTTCTAATCCACACAGGTCTTCCTATAGCTTTTCTGCTTAGTCAAATGCAGATAGCCATGTTTCTTTTTTCACAGGTGTACTAAATTACATCTGTTGTTTGCACTGCATCTCTTTCCTTCCACTCACCAAGCTTTTGGTGTTTTTAGATACAGGCAGTGCATCAAAACTGGCCTCATCTTGCCTGCTGTAGCTTATTTTTAGCTCATTAATCTTGCTAAGTTGCTGAGGCTGGCCTCAAACTTGCAATCCTTCTGCCTCAGTCTCCTGAGTCGCTTGGATTCCAAGTGTGCGCTACCACGCCCAGTCAAACAAACAAACAAACAAACAAACAAAATTAAAATGTGTAGAGTTCAGTCACTAAACTTTTGGTCTAAGGTGGTACAGATTTTCTTATCCACACAGGTCTTCCTATAGTTTTTCTGCTTAGTCAAATGCAGATAGCCATGTCTTTTTTTTTTTTTTTCATAATTTGATAATACTTTCATAATACTGAATGCCTTGCCAATCCAGGTAGGTATCCATTTCATTCTCAAAGAATTTGGATGGGGCTGGGCATGATGGCACATACCTGTAATCCCACTAACTTGGGAGTCTGAGGCAGGAGGATTGCAAGTTCAAGACCAGCCTCAACAGCTTAGGAGGCTTTGAGCAACTTAGCAAGACCCTGCCTCAAAATAAAAAGGTTGGGGATGTAGCTCAATGATAAAGTGCCTTTGGGCTCAACCCCCAGTAACCCCTAAAAAACAACAACAACAAAAACAAACCAGAATTAGGATGGGAGATGTTAACATGTAACAAGTAACAAAAGAGAAACATTATTTAACAGAAAATTCGAAGTCTTTATACAAGGAACATGGAGTAGAATATTTTAACTTTCATAGGTTAAATATAGCAAAGGATTGTTGAAACACAACTTTCTTGCAGTTGTATTGCCTAGGTTTACTCTCTTTTCCATTACTAAAGGAATCACCACTTTCTGACAAGATTATCATATAATGACTCCTACTTACCTTGAAGCAATCTCTTTCCCATGCACGATGGTCGGTTTCCCTGCCAGATTGTATCATTGCTCATTTCATATAAGACCTTTTAATTCTTATTTATTTTTTTTGAGACAGGCTGTCCTCAAACTCTCAGTCTCAAGCAATCCTTTTGCCTCAGCCTCCTGAGAAGCTGTACTACAGGCGTGTGCCACTGCACTTGGCCAAGACAGTCTGTTTAAAAGTCTGTTACTCCGTGCTCAGCCTTCAAGGCTTTCTACACATTGCTACCTACCACCGAGCTATTTAAATCTCATCTTCCACAATTTCTCAAAGACCTCCATTATTCTAGCCAGGAATAAAGAATCTCTTTCAAGTACCACCCACTATACCTTTATAGTTTTTCTAATACGTTGAAATTTACCAATTTTAAATATATGTCCTTTGATTCTAAAAACCCTGAGAGATAAAGATAGGGAGAAGAAAGGGATAAATGTCTCTAACAGATCTTAAGAGAAAAGAGATAAGTGTCTCCAACAGATCTTGAGATGGGGAGGTAGATAGAGTTAAGGCTCTGTATCAATCTTCATTATACCAGGCTTGGAGAAAGTCCCATTCAACAGAGATTTTGGACAGGAATGACAGTTACAACATCAACTTCAGGTCTATCCTTAGGGCACACATAACTGCATTATATTTGCCAGGTGTGGGAATAGTACTGGTAGAAGCTAAATGAGCTAAAAATAAGCTACAGCAGGCAAGATGAGGCCAGTTTTGGTGCAAAACTGCCTGCATTTCCGTACACCAAAAGCCACAATCCTATTTGACAATACTAAGAAAGTATTGTATTGTTAGTATTTTTTTTAGACGTGATAATGATATTGAGGTGTTTTATAAGAATTCTTATATTTTAAAGATATACTGAAATATTTAAAGATTAAATTATGAGCTGTAGCATATAAAAACAAGATTAGCCATGTGCTGATAATTGTTGAAACTGTGGGATGGATACATAAAAGTTCATTATATTACTTTCTCTATTTATGTATTTGTGTAAAATTTTCCATAGTAAATAATTTTAAAAAGATCATAGTCTTTATAACTTCTGCATCTCCTTCCAGCACATAAAGGTCAGGGCCTATTTCATTTTCATTTGGGAGTTTAAAAAAATCCTTCAATAGCCAACAGTCAGTTTCACTTTTTTTACTACAAACTGATAACTAGGAAACAGATTTTGGATCACTCTTTAAATCTTGGAAGAAAGTTTCCCTGCTGTTTGAAAAGCAAACTCTTCAAAATCCACCACAGAGTTTAGGATGTAAGTTCTATGAGGGCAGGGCCACGCTTGCTTATTCACCATTGATCCCATGATTCATCTAGCACAGTGCCTCCCTCATAAGAAGTGCTTAACAAGTACATATTGATGGAATGAAAAAGAACAAGTCATAGGGGAACAAGGCATCAGTGTCCTGGGAATGTGAAACAAAAAGAACAATCTTATTATTAGCTCCATCCTATAGGAGCTCAGCAGGTTTTGGGGTGAAGGCCAGGATGCTGCAAGAAAGCTCATGCAGGGCACAGAGGAACATTTCTCCTTTCCTTAATATTCCTGTATGTATCCAAGTCCATTGGCTCAGGGCAGAGCTAGTGTTTATACCCAGGTTCTTAAGGTTCCCTGCCCAAGCTGCTCTGAGGGGAACTTCCTGTGTAGGGCTTGCTTTCTGGTCTACCAGTGCTACTGGAGGCAGAAACTTATCCAGCAGTCATGAATGGAAACTAGTTACTCTTCTTCTTCTTTTTTTAATATTTATTTTTTAGTTCTAGGTAGACACAATATCTTTATTTTATACTTATGTGGTGCTGAGGATCAAACCCAGTGAGTGCCTCAGGCATGCTATGTGAGCACTCTACCACAGAGCCATAATCCTAGCCCCTAGTTGCTCTTCTTAATATACAGTTATTAAATATTTTCCTATCTATTTCTCTGAGGACTCCAGCTGCATTTATTTTTTAATCAAAAATCTTTCAAGCAGGTGTTATGGCACATGCCTATAATCCGAGTGACTAGGGAAGCTGAGGCAAGATTGCAAGTTTGAGATCAACCTCAGCAATTTAGTGATACCCAGTCTCAAAATAAAAAATAAAAAGGGGCTAGGGATATGGCTTAGTGTTTGCATGCCCTTGAAGGTTTAATCCCTAGTATAAAGAAACAAACAAAAAACAACTTTGAGATCAGCCAGGTGCAATGGCACACACCTGTAATCCTAGCTACTCAGGAGGCTGAGGCAGAAGGATTGCAAGTTCGGGCTACTTAGTGAGACCCTAACTCAAAAAATAAAAAGACCTAGGCATGTAGCTCAGTGGTAGAGCATCCCTGGGTTCAATCTCCAGATCCACCAATCCTTGAAATCCAACTTCAAAAGAAGGTTTCTGCAGGGCATGGTGGCACATACCTATAATCCCAGCTACTTGAGAAGCTGACAGAAAGATTACAAATTAGAGGCCAGCCTGGGTAATTCAGCGAGACACTCTCTCTCTCTCTCTCAAAAAAAAAAAAGGTGGAATGGGGCTGATGATGTAGTTAAGTGGTAGAGCACACCTGAGTTGAATCAAAAGGAATTTTTTCTCTTTGGAAACCCAAGTACTGTGATGTACCAGATAGAGTCTGTGGGAAGTATTTAAGGCCCATAAATGTATTTTCAAAGCAAAATAGGAAAAAAATACCAAAATTTGTTCGTCTACATTCATGAAAGTTCACCCAGAAGGAATTTATTCTCTAAAACTGGTGTGAAAATTGCTGTATTTTTTTTTCTTCTTCTTTCAGAGTATGTCTCTAGCCCTTTGCTAAGAGGGCCTATCTAGAGGATAATTGCCTAGGGGAAGGAAATGTTCTTGGAGACAAACAGCAAAAGAACTGGGAAGCTTACACTGGTAGAAAAAGGGAAGAACAGCCTGAGACTGTACAAAAAGAGCCATCGTGGGTAATTCTAAGTTTTTGTTTTCTGGTTTTGTTTTTGTTTTGCTGTGCTGAGGATTGAACCCAGGGGTGCTCTATCACTGAGGTACATCCTCAGTACAAAATATTTTACATTTTGAGATAGGGTCTCACTGAGTTGTCTAGGCTGGCTTCGAACTTGGGACACTCCTGTCTCAGTCTCCCGAGTAGCTGGGATTATAGGTATGTGCCTGTGCCTCATAGGGTAAATTCTGAAAAATTTTTTTGCTGTTTTTTTTTTCTAACATGGGGCTTCAAAATATAAGCAGGAGACCCTTGGTATGGGCAAAAATAAATAATATACCCAAAACACTATTTCATTTCCAAAACAAAGGTGAGACTCAACTATGTAATTTATATAAACCGATGTTTAACTTTAAGAAGGTTTAAGTTGAGGTGGGGATAGTTTAGTGATGTAGCCCTTACCTAGCATGTACAAAGCCCTGGGTGTGATCCCAAATACAAGGAAGGAGGGAAGGTAGGAATAAAGGAAGGAAGGGAGAGAGAGAAAGAAAAGAAAGGAAGAAAAGAAAACAAGAAGTGGGGGAGGAAGAAAGAAAGATTATCTCCCTCCCTTTTACCTGTTTTCCATTAGGAAATCCACAACATATTTTTTCAAGCAGTATAGATGGGCATCCACAAGGCCGGTATGGAAGTGTATTCTAGGGTACCTGAAAAAAGAATAGGAAAGAAGATGCTTATAATCAGGTAACAGGGATTCCATTCTATCATCACATAGTAGGCATCTGGAAGTATTTAAGGCTTAGAGCCATGCTGTCTACCCTCCACCCTGGGGAGACCAGGATGGTGGACACCACCTTTGATCCTACCATATAAAATCATAATAGTTCTCTATAGAAACACTCCCTCATACTCTTGGAGGCTTTTAGGCTTCAAAAGCAATTTGGCAAGTCTTCAAATCACTGACAATCCACTTTCTATTATGTCACATACTCCTACTCACAATTCTTTTAACTAACATTTTCCTGCCTCTACACCAATTATCCCACTTTCTGAAGGCTACACTTTAGCTATATTTTCTTTTACCTCCAAGATCAGGCATGTATTATTCCATATTCATAGATGAAGCAGAATTCTATGAAAACTCCTAACTTCTTACTCTCACTCATCCAGCAGAACTCATCTAAGATACATTTCCTCCAGGAAACCTTCACTTAGAATCCTAGTTAGTGCTCCCTCAGTACTCAGTGCCTACCTCTACCAGGTAATTTACCATACAATAATGGAATAGCATATTTACTTCTCTCTCTCACTAGAATGAAATGCATTAGAGAGCAGAGATTCATCTTCATAACCTTAGCATTCAGCATGATTCCTGACAGAATGTCTAATTAAACAATTGTTGAATAAATAAAGAAATGAAAGCATTGTATCATATCAAGGCATCTGGCTAGTTGCTATTTTAGTTTACTATCTCTGATTTCAGCTTTTAAAAAATGCTAGGTTTGCAATCTCCCATGTTATCTTAGTATTTAATGAAAACAAATAGCTGGGGAGAAGTGGGAAAGAGTGGAGTGAAAAAAATGGAGAGTCCAGTTATAGCTGTCTGGTTGTAATCTTTCTTCTGTGTTCCTATCCTTTGACTGGCTTATAGTTTTAAGGAAAATTATTCTCAAAAGATCTAGAAACCCTGAAGTACTTACATAAATTAAGGTGTACCACCAAGGGCTTTTACTCCTTTGGGAAAAGGGGGCAAAAATATTTCTAAAAGGGAAATAGAGGAGCCAGAGACTTTGGAATCACACACACAACACAACACAACTCACAAGCCAATCAATGTACACAATGAGGATGAAGGAAAGTAAGAAAATCCAACTTTCTGAAAACCCCATTTGCTAAAATTGATTTTGGCAAATGTGAGTGTAGTTGCACTCTTTTGTTCATCTCCTATTTTACAAATTCTTTTAATCATATATTATTATTTAATTCTCACAAATAACTTCTGATATAGATATATTACTCTCATTTTTATTGTTGAGGTCAACTTGAACAGCCAGGGTAAGAATAACTTTAAAAAGTTTGAACAATCACAGTCTTAACTATTATCAATTATAAATGGCACTAATATTCATATAGGGATTGAAGGATTAACCACTGAGCCACATCCCCAGTTTTTTTTTTTTTTTTTTTAATTTTTATTTTCAGACAGGGTCTCACTAAGTTGCTAAGGGCCTTGCTGAGTTGCTGTGAGGCTGGCTTTGAACACTTGATCCTCCTGCTTCTGCTTCCCAAGTCACTGGGACTACAGGCATGTGTCACTTGCACCTGGCTTAACTGGCATTCTTAAAGAAATAAAGATTTAACTGGATATAAATTTGGGATATGGTGAAGGAATGGAGATGGGTAATTTGATGATTTTTCTTTTTTTTTAATTTAATTTTTTCATGTTAAATATGTAGTGATTTGGGACTGGGACACTAATGACATTTAAATTGCTAAAAAAAGGAAGTTTCTTTATTTCATTTATTGTCTTTGAATAATATTAGAAATAAAGATTTATTTTTATTTTTTAATTTATTTTTGTGGTGCTGGGGATTGAACTCAGATTCTCATGCAAGCTACATCCCCAGCACCCCCCCCACCAAAAATAAAAAAAACCTTACCAGATACACCAGTAAAATCTGGGTAACTGGATTACTCTCAGGATGATGTTTTGGGTATGTATATAATAAGGAATGAAACCAACAAATGGAAATAAGACAGTTAGAAGTAGTTATAATTTTTTATAAAACAAAAACAAAACAATTTTCCAACCATAGGAAAAGTCCCTTGCAATAAAAAACAGTTAATGACAAATCTCCTTTCAATGATAAAATGAAAACAAAAGCACAAAGAAATGGTATAAAAAGTTTAAACTTCAAAGTCAATAAGATCATTGAAAAACCCTCAAAGACAATTTCTCCTCTTCCTTTAACAAAAATAAAATAAAATAAAATAAAAAATATATGTAAAAATAAAAATTTTAAAAAATATTTATAAGAAAATAAAAAGGAGTTGCTGAAGAAAAGATCTTAGAAAAGCACAGCAGGACAATGGGCAAAGATACTGGTTTAGGATGCCCAGGATAATTTAAGCCATCAGGAACATAAGAAATACCTCTGTTATTATTATTTATTTACTTTTGTACTGGGGATTGAACCTAGGGCACTTAACCACTGAGCCACATCTTCATCACTTTTTATTTTTTGAGATAGGTGTTGCTAAGTTGCTTAGTGCTTCACTAAAATGCTAAGGCTGGCCTCTAACTTGCAATCCTCCTGCCTCAGCTTCCTGAGCTACTGGGATTATAGGCGTGTATCACTGCATCCAGCTCCTGAGTTATTTTTACAGACATGTTTTTAAAAGAATAAGTTGCAGATTTTAGAATTTGTATTTGTAAAGTTTAAATTTTTGAGGGAAATAAAACATGTTTTATAGAACAAAACCAATACGTCAAATAATTAAAATAACAATTAAAAATTAATTTCTAACCTGGCACAGTGGCACACACCTGTCATCCCAGCTACTCAGGAGGCTGAGGCAGGAGGACCACGAGTCTGAAGTCAGCTGGGGCAACTTAGTGAGACCTTGTCTCCAAATAAATTTTTTTTTTTTTAAGAGAGAGTAAGAGAAGGG